TTTCTCCCTGCCTCCCGTCCGTGGCCCAGCACACCGTGGCTCTGTTTGTGTGGGATTCTGTCCACGCCATGGCCTTCTTCTCCCCTTCACGCTCCTTTCCCATATTTTCCCAGAAAAGGGGAGGAAATCATTTAAAAAATACAGGAGGAAAATAAACAACAACCTTTCTCTGTGAGTTTATTTTGTGATGTTATAAATCTTTGGACCCTTGAAATTAAAAAAAAAACAACTATAAAAAAATCACCACCGAAGTATAGGAAAGGGAGGGAAGAGTCACGCCTAACAGGAAGGCTTTCCCCAAATTTGTCACAAACTCATTAATTCAAGATTGGAAGCTTGGAGAACCCGAGCAGAGCCTTGGCAGCATGGAAAGGTGTAAAGCGAGGTTGCAGACCTGCGGCCCCCGGGCCAGATTCCACTGACGTGTTTTGTTTGGCTCCCGTAGTTCTTGAAAAATAGTCAAATCAGTTTCAAACATGGGAGTTTTCATAATAAAACCCCTGATGTCCAGCATTTTTTTTGAGGAACGGGGAGCACTGGTGCCAGGGCTGTGGCTGGTTGGTGGCTGACCACGTGAAGGGGCATGGCTTCTGGTCACAGCCCCGGCCAGCAAAGCACCCCTGGTCTAGAAAGTTCTGGACTCACACTTGAAGCACCAGTCACCAGCTGGATGACTTGGAGGCTGGCACCTACTGGACTTTTCCTCCTCACCTGCCGCTGGCAGCCTTGTGTGTGTGACAGCACATCGTAAACACGAAGCACAGCAGATTCCCAGCCACACAGGGACCCTTGGGCCAGCGGGCCTCAGGGAAGGGGCGCTTGGTGACAGTCGGTGCACCTGCAAGGACGTTCCCTACTGCCTTCTAAGGCAGTGCCAGCCACTTCTTCAAAGTTTTTTCAAAAGATGGATTTTAAAAATGTGTTTTCTAAAATTATGATTATTTTACAAGGTCTGCACAGTCCACGTGGTGCTTTATAGGGTGTATCCGGCTACAGCTGGCCCACTTCTGGGTGTTTTATGGCAAATTATTCTCAGATTACCCTTTAATGCAGGAAGGCCTGCCAGTTGTCTGAGCTCCCTGGGTCATATAGAAAACCCCTAGACTTGATACGAAACAGCTGCCTCGGTCAGCTGTTCCAAAAAAAGGAGCATTTTCAGGCCGAAGCAGCAGGAAAAAGGTTTTTTGTAGTTGGTGGAGATTTTGAAAAAAAAAAAAAAAGTTAAATTACTCTTTCCTGGCCATTAAAAGGTGATTGAATTTTGTTATTAACAAATTGTGGGAATCTCGAGAGAAGTACTCCGAATGGGAGTTTGTTAAGTGCTCTCTGGCAATACTTACAGTATGTCCCGGGGGGGTGTTCTCAATGGAGGGTGGCTGCACAAAACTCCGCTGACCTCCGTGTCCCCGGGCCTCAGCCCGGGCTGGGCCGGGGTCAGGGGGCCAACCCCTGGGCCTCCCTCCTCTCTCTCCCCAGGGCCCCTGCTGAGACCAGCAACAAAAGGGTCAATTGTCTGAGGCCCCCCTTTGTCTCAGAGGCTCTATGGGCCTCTTCAAATGCCAAAGTGTCTCTATGCACATGGGTGAATGCATATACACATGGCTGTAGGAATGTGTATCCGTATGTATATGTGCACATGTGCTGGTGCATGCGAGTATTGTATAAGCATGTGCGTGCACGTGTGCACCCAGGAACACGTGCTTATTTATATGTGCACGTGCATGCACGAATAGGAATGCACATGGACCTGTGCATGCGTACATGGGTGTGGATGCGCCCCTGTAAGTGTGTGCGTGCACACACGAGTGTGCACCTGTGTGCCTATGTGCACACACATACGAGTGAGTTGGGTGTGAACGTGTGCACATGTGCCTGTGTGTGCACACACAGGCAGTGGTGAGACTTGCTCGAAGAATTTCTGAGACGCTGATGCCTCTTCGCAGGGTGAGCGCTCAGAGGCCTGGCTGGCTGATGCACATCCCTAGGGCCGAGGGAGAAAACATCTCTGGCCCATCTCTCAGCAGTTGGCCCAGTTACCTTGATGTGGCATTTGTTATGGGGCAGAAACCTCAGAGAAGTCTCTGCCTCCCCTGCCTTCTCTAGGGTCAGATAATAGGTAGGATGCAGGAGGAGGAACCATAAGGAGGCTCCCCACACAGCTCACTGGCCTCGTTTACCTGTTCCAATGTGGGGTTTCATGGCGAGGCCCGCAATAGCTTTCTACGCTGTTCCATTACCTTCTCAGGGCTGCCTAATCAGATCCAGTGCATTCCATGTGGCGTTTAAGCCAGGTTTCCAGAAGGACTGTACAATGACCCGTTCCCATCTGTCCCATCAGTGGGCTCCCACGTAGCTCTGGGGTCTCTGTACAGGTGCCAATCATCCTGTTCCCTAGCGCATCTCTGGAGACCTGCGGGATTCTGTGGCTGGTCTGTACCATCCCAAGGTTCACACTCTCTTCCTTAACAAAGGTGTCCTTTTAAAAATGACTGTAAAACATATTTGATTCAGAAGCCAAGAAAAGACTAATAAAAATGCTTAATTCAAATTTGCTTCTGTGAAGGATTTATCTCCCAGCCCCTTTTAACCAGCACAGCTGCCATGTAACAACTTTTTCTGCTTTTTTTTCTTATTCTTGTCCTTCCCCAGACCCATTTCCTCTCCCTACTCCAGCAAGGGCTTATCTTTCAACTGTGGAAAGGCACCAGTTAAACAGCACTCCAAAGCTTATCAAAATATTCAGGCAGTAAAATTATCTTATAATTAGCCTAACTGTAAGCCAGAACTTTTTAACCCCAGGAAAGGTGAAGTTACCTGGCCTGTGAAATTGGTAAATTGCTCATTCTGACCTTTTTAGGCTGCAGTTTCTACTTTTATTTCATTCCCCCAATAATTTCCTCCTTTTTCTTTAAATTCTTGATGGTCCCTGAGGCATCTTCCTCTTCTGTTTGCTGAAGGCTCAGAGAAAATGTACTCCTGGCTGAGCTGAAATAGATAATTGAATGCATTCAGGCGAGGGGGTTACGAAATCAACCTGTTATCTACTTCATGCCTTCACTTTTAGGTATGCTTTGGGTAAAATGAAGCCTCATCTCACCATCGCTGATTCCATACTTCAGGTGCATGCAGTGGTGGCACCCAGCCGCATGATTCTGGAGCTATTCCCACACTAGCTGGGGGATTCTGCAGTATCCTGAGCTGGTTAGAAGAATTGGGCTTCCTTATCACAAAGATTTCTCCTAACTCTTCCTCCCCTTGTCTCTTGCTTACCCCATCGACCCTCCCACTACCCCAGGGACCCTCCTGTCATCTTGCAGCACCCAGGAGGGTGCCACAAAAGTCACCTCCCCACCCCCACTTCTATGGGAGCTGACATCAAGGGAGTGGGCAGTGACGTGTTTGGGGGTGTTAACGTGCTACTTAGGTGGACTTTTGGCCCAGAAATGATATTATAGATGATGCTTCGGTTTTTAACTGCAGTTGAGATTCTTAAACTAGTCATGCCACAATTCAGCCACAAGTGGGTTAGTGAGACTTACATAGGCATGATTAGGGCTGATCACTGTGTTTTACATGATGAAATACTTGCAAAGTTGCAAAAATTAAACTTAAAAACAATTAAAAATGAAATTTCGGAGTGTGACATTTTCATAGAGGGGTGTTGCCTATAAATAGTGGTAGTGATTATTTATAGAGTTTTTTTCCTGTCCATCAGGCAGTATGCACACACGTGGGCATACACACAGATACAAACACATAGATAGAAAAATTGTTTCATCCTTATGTTAATCTGGTGAGAACACAATTACTTTGCCCATTTTACAGTTGTGAACACTGACGCTCTGAGAGGTTAAATCACTTGCTGACACCCATATGGTTAGCAGTTGAACGTGGCTGTCATGTAATCCACCACTGGCCTTGCGTTAACCAGCCGAGGCCCAGGCCATATGGTCCGACCTCTAGTTGTTCTTGAGAGGTTTCCTTGACACCTCTACAGGGTAAGGAGGAAATTGCAGTGTCACCTCGGGCTCTGCTTGGCAGTCGTGTACACTTTCTCTTGATGTCACGTGTATATCACAGGTGCGATTTCCTTGCAGTCCTTGGAGCTGCCTTGCTGCCCTTGAGCTGACAGGATCAGGGTGAAGTCTGTGCTGATCCCCTCAGGGAGGCTCTGGCCCAAGTGGTCAGTCCCCCTGGGGTGGAAGTAGTGAGAGGGTCGCTCCCAGGACCTGGGCGTGGCCATGCTCTCCTAATGCAAACCTCAGAATCAGATCCGCTCTGCAGTCCCATCTTTTCACTGCTTTGTCTCAGAGCTGAAAGAGCCCTGTTTTGCTCATGGAAAGAGTAGAATGGTGGTTGCCAGGGGCTGCAGGGTGGGGGTAAGTGGGGAGATGTTGGTCAAAGGGTAAAAACTTCTAGGGCTAAGAAGAATAAGTTCTAAGGGTCTAACGTACAGCATGGTGACTGTAGTTAACAATGCCGTGCTGCACATTCGAAAGTGGCTAAGAGAGCAGATCTTAAGCGTTCTCACCAAAAAGAGAAATAAAAGGCAACTGTGAGGCGATGAATGTGTTAATTAATGTGCTAATGTGTGTTAACCATTTTGCAATGTATGTGTATATGGCATCACTTTAAATAGATACCCTTTTGTCAATTACACCTCAATAAAAAATAAACATTAAAGCATTTTTAAAAAGGCAAAAAAGAGCCTTTTGGAAGTCTTTCCTGATGAGAGACACCTTCTGTCTAATCCATGATGGAATATTGTACCCTGCTTAAGACCCTTTCAAAATACCATTATCCTTTTAAGAGTTAAGTTGAAACTAAAGATCGATCATTAAAACATGTTATTTTAAAAAAAAGTGTTATTTAGGAAGCATTAGCAGGAAGGTGTTTTAAGAAATGTTTAAAAAAAGTTGGCGCGTTACATCAGTTTTCTTGTGAATTCAGCATGTGCTTGATATTATTTAATATGTATTCCTCTCTCTTTTTAATTGCAGCTTGGGTTGACGATAGCCATTCGCTATAGCCACAGGTAAAGTTACATTTTTTTCTTTTAAGGAGTATCCTTACTGATTTATAGATTTTGGTTTGCTCCAGTCTACAAGTTTTTTTTTTTTTTTTTTTTTTTTTTTGTTTTGCGGTACGCGGGCCTCTCACTGCCGTGGCCTCTCCCGCTGCGGAGCACAGGCTCCGGACGCGCAGGCCCAGCGGCCATGGCTCACGGGCCCAGCCGCTCCGCGGCATGTGGGATCCTCCCGGACCGGGGCACGAACCCGCGTCCCCTGCATCGGCAGGCGGACCCCCAACCACTGCGCCACCAGGGAAGCCCAGTCTACAAGTTTTTGAGCTTAATTTTGGAGGCTGCTCTATCTGTGATGTCAGTGTGATAGCAATTAGATGAAATTGTTCTAGTTGCTTGATTGGTGAGAGTTAATCACTCTTTGGAGGAATAAGATTTTTATGTAAAAGTTGTGGTAGATAGCCCATTTCTTTTTTAAAAAAAATTTATCTATTTAATTTATTTATTTTTGGCTGCGTTGGGTCTTCATTGCTGTGCGTGGGCTTTCTCTAGTTGCGGCGAGCAGGGGCTACTCTTCATTGTGGTGCATGGGCTCCTCATCGCGGTGGCTTCTCTTGTTGTGGAGCACGGGCTCTAGGTGCATGGGCTTCGGTAGTTGTGGCACACAGGCTCAGTAGTTGTGGCGCACGGGCTTAGTTGCCCTGCGGCATGTGGGATCTTCCCAGACCAGGGCTCGAACCCATGTCCCCAGCATTGGCAGGTGGATTCTTAACCACTGCGCCAACAGGGGAGCCCTGCCCATTTCTTTTAAAGTCAAAAATGTAATGCTCTAGGGCAGGGACCCGATGTGATTTCTGGGAGTGGACTCTGTCCAAGGGTGAGAAGTGGAAACAGGGATGTCATGCATGAGAAATGAGGCCAGAAAGCCACACGAGGGATTGGCTTAGTGACTTTATTCAGAAAGCCAGCAGACTGTGAGGATGGACTAGTGTCCCAAAGATCCATTCAGACTTCTTTTATACTAAAAGGGGAGGGGGTGTGGCTGGTTGTTGCAGCCTTCTTGATGCTGGAATCCTTTGTTCTTGCAGCTGTCCTGTTGGTCAGGGCACAATGTTCCTATAAACCTCCAACAAGACAAATGTTATTCTCTGTTCTGCAACTTTTTATCTCTATGAATGGGAAAGTGTTATACCTTTAAAGGTCAGAGCCTTGAGAATGGGCTACCCTGTATATTCCAGGCTATAGGCAACATTCTTTTAGTGATTAACTTGTAGCAAGAGCAATAGAGTACAAAAAGGTTAAAGTAAAAGAAACAGATTCAGTATGGGGTCAGATTTGTTCTTCCCTATCACATCCCCACGGAGGTGGTTGGTGCACCATGAAGAAAGCACTTCGCTTGGATTGTAAACAACATTCCCCTTTGTTCCTCTTTCCCCAGAGCACCCGCCTCACTGAGGAAATGTGGCTGGTAGATAGAGGTTTATGAGGCTGAGTAGCAAGGTAGCCACCCTGAGCCATGGCCCTACGGGAGCTAAGGACAGTAGCTCTGTTGTGATGAAGGGAAAGAAGGATGTTCGGGTGGTAAACGAACGTCGATTTTAGAGAGGGCAGAGCTTTGGAGCTGCTCATCCTGTGGCCACATTTATGTATTCTGCCCCAGTTCCTATCTGCCTACTGTCACTGGACGACCATTTATCATGCCCGTGCAGTGTGTGGGTCAGGGGTCTGGAAAGGGCAGTGAAGATGGCTTGTCTCTGCTTCACAGGGTCTGGAGCCTGTGCTGGGGGACTCAAGGGCTGGGGGGCGAGTCATCTGAAGGCTCACTTGCTCTTGTGTCCGGTGGGTGAGGCTGGCTTGTGGCTGGGGGGGCAGTCTCTGTTCCTCTCCATGTGGGCTGTTTTGAGCTTCCTCACAGCATGGTGGTTGGCTTTCTCTGAGTGAGTGTCCTGGAAAGAGAGAACCACGTGGAAGCTGTCTCCGTTCTGTGGCCCAGCCTCACAGAGCATCACTTCCACCTTGTTCTACTGGTTGGCACAGTCGCAAGCCCCCACTTGTGTTCAGAGGGAGGGAGTAGAGACACCCGCCCCCCCTCGGCCGAGGGAGTGTCGGTCACGTTGTAACAAGAGCATGAGAGGTGGCAGAGCTTTGTTCGGCCATATTTGGAAATGCGCTCTGCCATGGAGCCCAGCTGAGTGTTGGAGTATTTATTTAGAGCACTTGTGGAAAGAAATTTAAGACTGTCCTTGCTGCAAGGCACTCACTAGTTGGGGGTACACAAGGGGTATGTCTGAAGAAGACAGGACAGATGCAGTTCTCATAGGAGGGGGTCAACCAATCAAAGGAGGCTTCTTAGAGGCAGCGGCCCTTAAACCATCCTCATTCCACCGAAGTGCGAGAGTGGGACGCAGGTCCAGTTGGCTCAGGGAGATGCCTGGGCAGGCTGAGAATACAGGTCCCTGAGAACACATAGCCTTTCAATGACTATTTGACATGTATTTGGAGGAGAGGCAGCGTATGGGGAGGCTGTGGAGGGGTGGGGTGGATCCTGGCTGCCTCAGCCTTCCTTCTGTAGCCCTAGGAGTTCAGTCGCAACCCTAAACTTAGAACCCACTCCTCAAAACAAAGGCCCTGCCCAGGCTGGATGGCAGGCAAGCAGAAAGGCTAGCAGTTGTCTGTCTATGGGAGCATCTGCCTTCTGGGTCCATGCTCCATCCAAGGAGCCTAACCCCACACTCCTCCTGGCCAGGCCGCTGCTGTGCTCTCACGGGGGACATCCTGGCAAAGGGAGCTGCCCCTGGGCTGTGTTTCCAGGGAAGTGTGCCTCCAGGCTGTCCTGTCTCCTGTCTTAGCTCTGGGCCCTCAGGTTCAGAGCAGGGAGTCATGGATATTTGCATAAATGCAGCAAAAAGCGAAGACAAATCTAAATAAGTTACAAAGGGAAGTAGTGAGGTGGGGGAGGAGGAAAGCGAAGGTATCTACTGAGCTTCCTTTGCCAGTGCCCAGTGCCTTCACCATATGCCTCAGGGGCTGGGGCCCCCGGAGTGCGCGGTGGCCCAGCGAAGGCCGTATTCACGAGAGGCTGCTCACAGCGTCCATGTGCCCCTGCCAGGAGCCTGAAGTCTAGGGGCAGAGAGAATGATTAGAAGGTGACTGCTGTAACTCAGGGATGACCCGGAGACTTTGTTTTTCTTTTTTGGCTCGGCTGGGCCTCAAACAAAGTGTAAATGTCCAATTTCCACATCCGATGGATGCAAGCCAAGGTGGGGAGAGGTTGTGAGGAGCGTTTGACCTGTCCAGCTACCAACATCTTAAAATAACAGAGGCCTTATCAGAGGTTGTGTTTTTTTTTTAAGATTTTTTTTTTTTTTTTGATGTGGGCCATTTGTTAAAGTCTTTATTGACTTTGTTGCAATATTGCTTCTGTTTTATGTTTTTGGTTTTTTGGCCCCGAGGCATGTGGGACCTTAGCTCCCCGACCAGGGATCGAACCCGCACCCCCTGCATTGGAAGGTGAAGTCTTAACCACTGGACCGCCAGGGAAGTCCCCAGAGGTTGTGTTTTGCAAAAATTATTTCTGAAACAGGGGATTCTGAGTTAAAAATTCCAGGAAGCGCAACAGCAGCCGTCAAGTGTGGTGAGGAGGAATCTTCCAGTCTGCAGGAATGCGTGACACTTGATACGGTGTCACTGAGGAGACACTTGCAGGTCAGGGCCACACCACCTGCCCCTTGCCCCATGGCCTTTGTCCTGTCTCCGGGGTCAGCGGGCACAGGAGGAATTGACCTTTCCTCTCAGACACCTGCAGGTCACCGTGTTGCCTGGTGGTGCCTCTTCTGTCCCTCCTGCTGCCTGGCCCTGTCACACACCTCTGTCCTCACATAGGAGGAGGAAGATGAAGGGGGTGGGTTTCTGGTTGTGTCCCCTATTTAAAAATCCTACTAGCTTATTTAGATTAATTGAAACTTCCATCCTTTTGTCGATTGCTTTTTTTTTGGTAAATTATACCTAACAGAAATTTACCATTTTATTTATTTGTTGGCATATACTTAATTTACAATGTTGTGTTAGTTTCAAGTGTACGGCAAATTGACTCAGTTATATCGATACACATACGTATATATTTATTTTCAGGCTCTTTTCCGTTATAGGTTATTACAAGATATTTAGTATATTTCCCTGTGCTACCCAGTAGGACCTTCTTTTCCTGTTTTATATATTGTAGTGTGTATATGTTAATTCCAAACTCCTAATTCATGTCCCCCCTCCCTCCTTTTGGTAACCATAAGTTTGTTTTCTATGTTCGTGAGTCTATTTCTGTTTTGTAAATGAGTTCATTTGTGTCATTTTTTTTTAGATTAAAAGTGATCTAAAAAATAAAGTTTACCATTTTAACCCTTAAAAAAGGATTAGGGAGTGTACAGCTCTGTGGCATTAAGCACATTCACATTGTTGTGCAGACACCATCACTATCCATCTCCAGAACTTTTTCATCCTCCCAGACTGAAAGTCTGCACCCGCTGAACACTGACACCACCGTCCCAAGCCCCCAGCAACCACCATTCTACTTTCTGTCTCTGAATTTGACGACTCGAGGAACGTTATAGATGTGGAATCATATGGTATTTGTCCTTCTGTGGCTGGCTTATTTCACTTAGCAGAGTGTCCTCAGGGTTCGTTCATGTAGCATGTGACAGGATTCCCTTCCTTTTTTTTTTTTTTTTTGCGGTACGCAGGCCTCTCACTGTTGTGGCCTCTCCCGTTGCGGAGCACAGGCTCCAGACGCGCAGGCTCAGCGGCCATGGCTCACGGGCCCAGCTGCTCTGCGGCATGTGGGATCTTCCTGGACCGGGCCACGAACCCGTGTCCCCTGCATCGGCAGGCAGACTCTCAACCAGTGCGCCACCAGGGAAGCCCTCCCTTCCTTTTTAAAGGCTGTATACTGTTCCATTCCATACATAACTCTTTCTTTATCCATTCACCTGTCGATGGACATTTGGGTTGTTTCTGTCTTT